GCCTGCCGTGCCCAAGTGGGCTGTGGTTCCAGTTTTTATACATTTTTCAGGGCATAGCTTTAACTTATTCTTTCACACGTACGCACACACATCAGCTGCCTTAAGAGCGTTCTTAGTTACTATTACTACAAATATCTTCTTATCTATCCTTGACAGCTCTGCTGTCTGACAAGCTTTCAATGTCTTAGGGGCGTTGCACAGTCACTGTCACCAAAAATGTCTCTTAACTTTGCTCCTGACAGCTCTGCTGTCTTACAGGCTCATTACAAAGTCCTATACGTTTGTCTTGTGCCTATAACTGAGGCACTAACGTACTAAAATTCCTTGATTTTAATTTAAATAGTCACATATGCCTAATAGCTCCAGTACTGGACATCGCTCACTGTTATCGCAGATAATATGGAGGCAGAGGCAGGAGTTGCATAGTGAGTTCCAAACCAGCCAGGGCTACAAAAATAGAATTACCGGAATAAACAAACCCAAAGGACCCGGCAGGCTCTACTAGAGCCTAGCCGTCTACAAAAGAATGGGCTATGCAAATTGTCAAAGAATGCAAATCAGCCACTGATTTGAGGGACAAAAGCCCAGGCCTTGTGATCGCACTAGGATTCTCTCTGGGCTGCGGGGCGTTGTGAGGCAAGCTGAGAGACTGGGAGGGTCCAGGGAGGAGGGCCTTTAGAGGTGGTGTGGGGCCTAACCAGCTGGTGTCGGCGACCCAAGACATCAGCTGGCTGGCGGGCCCGCAGGCTGGCGGGCTGGCGGGCTGGCGGGCTGAGACAATGGGCGGGGGTCTGCCCGGAACCTGCCTCCCTTGGCGCCGGGTCCTCTACCGGACCCTGACCAGCTGCCGTGGGCACTTTCCTTGGTCTCTGCTGAGGCTGTGGGGCGAGAAGATCTCGCAATGGAATTGGGGGGGGGGGGGGCGGGAAGGGTGGTGGGAAAGGTCTATGTGAAATGGCCTGGGAAGGGGGGGCGGGATTGAGGGTGTAAAACAGAGGCCGTTAGGAACCTTTATGGAGGTCTCCAGTGTGACAGACATTGCGCTGGAGGATTTGCATATGTTCTTCCGTTTGCTACTCCCAAAGTCCCTCTGGTCATAGTAATAATAATCATTATCAACAATAGCAACCCGGTGTGTAATGGAGGGCCCCCCTCCCCCTCGGCTGGCGTTGAAGGCTTGTCTCAGCTAATCCTCATGATCGCTTTGGGAGCCCAAGTCTTTTATTTAATAGCCCTTTTTTGCAAGGGAGGAGCCCCGGGCTCTGAACAGTTAAGGGCCTTACTTTCCAGCATCACTGAAATTGGAGGGAAGAAAACGTTCCTGTGCTACTTGAGTCTCCCATACTTCCTGCAGAGCCGCAAGACCTTCTCCGTTCCTGGGAGTTAAGTATAGGTCAAACTTTAGTGTAAGAACCTCACTGTGACAAGCTCCAGTTACCGTCTATGGCTCATGTCGTGTACATCTGACAGCTGTGACATAGACCACAAACCACATGGCTGGCACAACCTATTTTTAATGTGTTCCACTGTTTAAAAAAAGGAAGTTTAGCTGGTCGGTGGTGGCACATGCCTTTAATTCCAGCACTTGGAGACAGAGGTAGGTGGGAGTTCGAGGCCAGCCTGGTCTACAAATTGAGTCTAGACTGGCCAAGGCTACACAGAGAAACCCTGTCTGAAAAAAAAAAAAAAAAAAAAAAAAAAGAGGCGGGGCTGGAGAAATGGCTCAGCAGTTAAGAGCATTGGCTGGTCTTCTAGAGGACCCTGATACAATTCCCAGCACCTCCATGGCACTCACAACTCTCTGATGTGTATCTCAAATTTCAGTGGATCCAGCTCCCTCACACAGACATGTATATGCCAAACACCAAATGTACATAAAAATAAAATCAAATTAGAAAAAAAAAGAAAGTTTAAGACTTTGTTATAATAGGGTTAAGAAAGTTAGGTCAGTGGCAAATGGATCTCTGTGGGTGCGAAGCCAGCCTGGTGCCAGCCTGGTCTACATAGTGAGGTCCAGAACAGCCAGAGCTACATAGTAAGATTCTGTTTCAAGACAACAGCAACAACAAAATAATAATAGAAGAAGTTTAAGTGATGAGAGACATTGCTGCTCTTACAGAAGACCTGGGTTCAGTTTTTAGCACCCACGTAGCAACCTCTGTAATTCTAGTTCCGCAGGATCCAGTGCCCTCTTTTGGCAACCGTGGGTACCAAGCTCACACATAGTACACACACATACATACAGCATTCATATATGTAAAAGAAAAATAGATTTTGTTTTTGTTTTTTCAAGACAGGGTTTGTCTGTATAGCTTTGGCTGTCCTGGACTGGCTTTTGCAGACCAGACTGACCTCGAACTCAGAGAGATCCACCTGCTTCTGCCTCCCTGAGTGCTGGGATTACAGATGTGTGCCACCGCTCTCAGCTTAAATATTTTTAAAAACAAAAAATAGTTTTGTTCACCTTTATGTAGCTTCCTTCCTCCGCCTTGCATCCTCTGATCCCTGATGGCACCTCGCCCTAGCAGGCTTTTTTCATCCTGCTTGCAGGAGTGTAATAGAGTATTGTGCTACTGGGTGCCAAGCACTGGGTTAGGTAGATGGGCTCTTTGCAAGTGTCAAAGAATCAGCCAGCTTTCGATTGGTGTTGGTGGCATATGCCTTTAGTCCCAACACTCAGGAAACAGGGACTGGAGGATAGTTCCAGGCTAGTCAGGGTTACATAGTGAGACCCTGTCTTACACACACACACACACACACACACACACACACACACACACACACAAGATAAGGAAGGGAAGAGGCAGAGACAGAATATTAGCTGGCATCTATTGTAACTAGAAATAGTGCAGGGTCTTACAGATAAGAGTACAGGAGCTTAACCATTTGACAACAGAGGCAAAGAAGGCTGGCTGCCAGGGAGACCTATCTGGAGAAGGTAATGGCAACTCTGGAGATCTACAGAGATGAGAAGCTTCCAGGTAGCCCTGTGTTCTGTTGCTGGCACCGAATAAACTGGACATGGTAGAACACAAGGTAGAGAGAGGCAGGATAACCAGTTAAAGCCATCCTGCTTTAACTTGTACATGAGACGTGGTCTCAAAGAGAATTTCAAAATAAGTTCCTGCACTGTAGTAAAGGAGCCAGGAAGGAATACATTTGCTATATTTTTAAGTGTTTAACAACACGATGGAGAAATTTAGAGCAGATGGCAGGTAGACAGGAATAGCTTGGGGAAGGCCTTCCAGGGAAGGTGATAGAGCAAGAAATCCAAGTTATCTTGGTGGAGAAGCCTGCACTGCTGAAACGCTAAGATGCCATGAAATTAAAATAAACAGAGCTCTTGAGTCATGAAAACTTCAGTAATAAAAGTCTGATGGTAGAATGGTAGAATGTTAATCGGTTTTTTCCCCCATGACATAAAATTTTAATGGAGAGCATTCTCTAGCTGTGGAATTTAAACAATAAAACTTTGAAGTCTTGGAATTCTAGTCGACCAGGAAACTTACCTAGAGAATAGGAAGATGGGGCTGGAGAGATGGCTCAGAGGTTAAGAGCATTGGTTGCTCTTCCGGAGGTTCATGAGTTCAAGTCCCAACAATCACACAGGGGCTCACTACCATCTAAAAAAATGAAATCTGGTGCCCTCTTCTCGAGTGCAGGTGTACATGCAAACACAAATTGTATACATAATAAATAAATCTTTAAAAAGAGAGAGAGAGAACAGGAAGATGAGGAGTTCAAGGCCAGCTTTGCTGTACACAGCAAGTTCAAGGCCACCCTGAACTACAGGAGAGCCTGTCTCAACTTACAAAACGAAGCAGCCTTGATGCTACAGAGAGATGGCTCAGCTGTTGCTCTTCTCCCAGTTTGGTTCTCAGCATCTATGTTAGGCAGCTCACAACTGCAACTCCACCCTCTTCTGACAATCTGACACCCTCTTCTGGCCTCTATGGGCACCTGTGTGAACACATGCATGCGTGCACTCACAAACACTCAAATTTTAAGAATCAAAATAAGAGAAGACTGCTTGAGCATAGTGACATATACCTGTAAGTCTAGTACTTAGAAGAGCATTAGAAGTTCAAGGTCATCCTTGACTAGATACTGAGATCAAGGTCCATGCTACATGTGGCCATGTCTCAAAAATAAAATTAATTTAAAATAGAACAAGGGCCGGGTGTGATGGCACACGCCTTTAATCCCAGCACTCAGGGAGGCAGAGGCGGGTGGATCTCTGAGTTCGAAGATAGCCTGGTCTACAAAGTGAGTTCCAGGTCGGCCAGGGCTACACAGAGAAAACCTTTCTCAGAAAGAAAGAGAGAGAAAGAGAGAAGAAAGAGAGAGAAAAGGCAGAGAGAGAGAGAGAAGAGAGAGAAGAAAAGCAAGAACACAAAGTACGATGATCTGGTGAGTTTTGTTGTTTTTAAACAGGATCTTGTAGGGTAACCCTCCCTAGCTAGGATCTTAGCAATCTTCCTGTTGCAGGCCTCTCCCACTGCTTCTATTACAGATGTAAGCTACTCTACCTGGCTTAGTTCTTGTCTTAGGAGATGAGTTCCATTCAGTCCAGGTTGTCCTGTGTCGTTGAGGTTGGCCATAAACTCCTCGAGCCTCTACCTCTGAAATGCTAGGACTGCAGGTGTGTACCACCATCCCTGGCTTTTTTTCCTTTATGTTTTTGTTTTTGAGCATTTGCCTGAATGTATGCATGTGTACCCCGTATGTCTGGTACCCATGGAAGCCAGGAGAAGATGCCCTGGAACTAGAGTTACAGGCAATTTTGATCTCACATGTGGGTGCTGGTCCTAGAACCTGGGTCCTTTACAAGAGCAGTCTGTCTTCTTAATCATTGAGCCATCTCTTCAGCTCCTTGGCCAGTCTTTCTTAAGGCAAAGAACTGATTGGGATTGGACAGAGTTTCCGACATAATTGTTTAGGGCTGGTAAACATTTGAGAAGTACCTTTTTTTCCCCCTTAATCCTAAATTTTGTTTTATTACCCTCTGGCAATGGGCAAAGAAACACCTTTGTTGGTGGTGTTGTTCTTCTATCAGTCAGGGGCAGAGCAGATGGCTGTCCTTTGTTCATCCTAGCATGACGCCTCGCTTGGTGGCCAGCGCTGTCTTATGCCTAGGACTCACAAATATCAAGTCAAATCCAGGTAGGGCAGCACGGGAGGAGGAAGACAGACAGGGACCTGAGGGACCATCATGCCATCCACAGACCTGCACTCCAGCACATGGCACAGGAGAGCCATAAACACCCTCTTGCCGCCATGCCATGCAGCAGGGTCGGAGGATAGCAGGGGCCCGATAGTCGCATGCCCAGTCAGCAGTGGACTGCTCAGATGGGAGAGAAAGAGAAGCGGAGCACTTGGAGCATTATGAAGAGAGATGGAACTGCAGACTTAAGGGTGGAGAGGAATAGCCTGTTGTGAGTAGTCAGCCCTGGGAGGCCCCAGCCTGAGTTGCCACTGAGGGCCATGTCTGGGTCTGTGGCTAGATAGTGACAAGGGTTGGTGTCAATGTCTGTAGTTTATGTGGCCACTAAAGAACATGGGGAGTTGGGACCACATGGGTGTCTAGGTGCTATGTGTAGCTGGCCCAGGCCCTCACTCTGTCTCTCTGGAGAGTTGGCCCTATCTCTCAACCCTACAGCACTTGCCAAGGCAGCACAATGGAGCTGACCCTTATGGCAGGTGTATGGGTGAGCTGCCCAAGGGCGTGAGTGTAGGAGAGCTAACTCTGCCAGGATGGCATGGGAAAAGAGATGATACTTCTCCACCCCACACATCTGGTTTTGAGCTTGAGAAAGCTAACCCCGCCCCTCGCCAGCTGCAGCACTCAGGAGAGCCAGCCCCTGCACCTCACCTGGACAGCAGAGCTGACCCTGACAGTGGGGGCACAGGTGGGCCAGCCCCTAGGGTGGAAGTTTGGGATAGCTGGCCCAGCCTCTTGTCTGGCATGAGGTGGGGGCGACGCCCTCCTCCTCCCCGCTTACCACCTGCAGTAACCAGGAAAGCTGACTTTGGGGTCATGAAAGCAGAAAATCTAGCCCTGCCCTTCACTGGCTGTAGCACTCAGGAGAATGGGCCCTGCACCTCACCTGGGCAACACAGTAGAGCCGGCTCTGATGGTGAAGTCAAGAATGAGCCAGCCCCGAGGGTGTGAAAGTGGGAGAGCTGGTCTAGCCTCTCACAGGCTGCAGACTTGGGAGAGTGGGCTCCCATGCCTTGACTGGACAGTACAGTAGAGCTGGCTCTGCGTGCGTGGGTGCAGGTGAACCAGCTCCAAGGGCATGAGAGCAGAAGAGTTGACCCTGCCTCCTGCCAATTGGCAGCATTGGGTGGCATAGCCACTCTGCAGTGCTAGAAGGCTTGCCCTGGTGGTGCAGATAAGGGAGAGCTGGCTGGCTGCCACCCAGGCCCAAATCCTGGGCTCACCCCATAATCTATACCATCTGTGAACAGCTGGGATGGGTGAAGGGCCAGTCCTGCTGACCCAGGACTGCAGGATCTCCATGACACAGGGCAGCAACAGGATGACCCAGAGGAGTCCTGGTGAGGCTAGAATATTGACAGTATCACAGAAGCCAGAGATCTCCGGCCACACTGTCAAGTTATTGCAGCGAACATCTGCAAGAGAAGATGTGTGGACAGTGTGGGACACACTGTGACATACTATAGCTCCCTCGATGAGCTGTTTCTTATGCTTTGTTGTTGTTTGTTTGTGTGTTTTATTTTGGGGGAAGGTTGCAAGGGCAAAAGGGGACGGGAAGATGAGCGAGTCTGGGATACATGATGTGAAACTCGTAAGGAATCAATAACAAGTTTAAATAAATAAATAAACAAATGGCTGGAGAGATGGCTCAGAGGTTAAGCGCACTGGCTGTTACTCCAAAGGTCCTGAGTTCAATTCCCAGCAACCACATGGTGGTTCATAACCATCTACAGTGAGATATAGTGCCGTCTTCTGGTGTACATGCACACATACAGGCAGAACGCTGTATAAATAAGTAAATAAATAAATCTTTTCAAGAATAAGTAAATAAATAAATCTTTTCAAGAATAAGTAAATAAATAAATACGTTTTGTTTTTGCCAAGTGTGGTGTTCCACATTTTTAATCTCAGTACTTGGAAGGCAGAGGTAGTTGGGGCTCTGTGAGTTCAAGGCCAGCCTGGTCAACATAGTGGGTTCTAGGACAGTAGTGTTATATAGAGACACCTTGTCCCAAAAAAACAAATAAGTAAATATAGGTAAATAAATAAATGTGCCTGGAATCCCTGCACAGATGTAGCCTATGGCAGTTCAGTGTCCAAGTGGGTTCCATAGTAATGGAGACAGGGAATGTCTCCAATAGGAACTGATTGGCCTGCTTTTTGATCACCTATCCCTGAGGGGGAAGCAGCCTTACCAGGCCACAGAAGACAATGCAGCCACTCCTGATGAGACCTGATAGACTAGGATCAGAGGAAAGGGGAGGAGGACCTCCCTTATCAGTGGACTGGGAGAGGGACACAGGTAGGGAAGAGGGAAGGTAGGATTGGGAGGGGAGGAGGAAGAGAGGTACAGGAGGGATACAAAGTGAATAAACTGTAGTTAATAAAAATAAAAATAATTAAATAAAAAATAATAAATAAATAAATAAATGCATCATGTTTCCAATGGAGGAACAGATTTCATCTCCCAAATGACCTAGGAATGATCTAGGAAATATCCATAGTTTCCAGGGAAGAAGTGAGAAAGGCAAGTGCAATTGTCTGTCCTCCTAGCACACTGCAATTGTACAGAGGACCCCAGAGGCCCTGATGATGATGATGATGTTATTTTTCATGATAACATGAGACACTGTGACTTGGATGTAAGTTAGTTCGATATTGAGCTACTCAGTCACAAAATGGAGGGTTCCACATATGCTCAGGCCCATAAGGAATCTTGAAAAAGATGAGCTTTGTGCTGGAGCTGCAGACCAAAGGCTGAACTGGCAAGGAGAGAGCTGGCTGTTGCAAGCCGATGTATAGACAGGTCAGGATTCTGAGAAGATATTCCAAAAATATTAAAATTAAACTGCTGTCTGACAAAAAGAGGTATTGGCCAAATTGAACAAACTGTTTGTCTAAAGAAATTAGTTTGCAAGAACTCCCTGAGGCAAACAGTGAGGTGATCTATTGGTTTATAGTCTTGTCTTTCCAGGCAAGATATTCCTGAAAAGTTGATCGATACACGGATCTCAGTTCTCGCCCAAGAAGCTAAGCTGAAGATGGTCTCAGTCTTTAGATCAACCCAGTTCCTGTTGATGGGTACTTCCGTTTTCCGCAGGATTTGTCTCAGGCATTGTTGCAGTGATGCCCTGGGCATATTCAGGGAGAGTTTCTAGGGTTCCCATCTGGAACTAGAACAGCTAGGTGTGAGAATGAGCAATTTCCCTGGAGTCCAATAACTTCCTCCCTGCCTCTCAGAAGGGGAAACCCTCCCTCTGTGATCACTGGGGAAGACAGTAGGAATTCCCAGGGGCTCGCTCACACCGCCTGCCTGCCCACCTGCCTGTCCTCCCTTGTTCAGGCAGATTAACGGTGACCTGTGACCCTGACAGGCTGGCCACACTCCCGGCCAATTTCAGTCTGTCTAAAGGAGTCCCAGGGGTGGTCAGGGCCTGGGGATGTGTTGACCAGATGGGCCTGGGAGGTCTTGGATCAGCTTATCCCAGGAGGCAGAGCAGGTGGGTAGCCCCTAGCTCCCCCTCCCAATATTCCCCATCATGCATCACTGGGCTGGAGCAGGAGCCAGATGGTGGGGATGGGGCAGCTTTGTAGCTTCTGGCCTAACAAAGGCTCTTCTATACTGCCCCCTCCTACCTCCTAGCTCAGCCGGTCTAGTCTCTGGCTGTCCAGTCACTCTCAGCCATGGCTTTCTGTTGAGACTCTCACTCTTCCTATTCCATTTATGGAGGAAGCTTCCCAGGAAGTGTTCCTGGAGAGCCTTGGACTTGGAAACATCTCTGCTAATCTGAGAGCGGACAAGCGTGGCCAACATGGTGTGGCCAGCCATATGGTCTCAACCGGTTGCAGATTCAAATGCAGTGATAGGATGAAACACAGTGGGTCAGGTAGGGGTTGTGGCAAATAGGTTCAGGACCTGACACTCAGAAAGCCTTCTTCAGTGGTCTCAAAGACTGTTCTGGATGGCCTCGAGAGAGAGATGCTTGCAGAAGAGCCTAAAAGTGAAAAGAATAAGCTTGGGAGTTTATAGTGAATCCACACGAGCTACTGAGAGCATACCCTTGGACCGATCACCCGAGTTCTCATAGCACAGCCCAGAGCGTGTAAGGTAGGGTATACATGCAGGTTAAATTCACTGGCTTCCTACATCTAGGAAGAACGTGCAAGTCTAGAGGAAAGAAAGCCACCAGGTTGTAAGATAGTAGTCCCAGGGCATCTGTAGCCGGCAGGCTCAGGCCCAGAATCCTGAGAACTCCTCAGTTACAAGCTTGTGCTTCTTGCCTTGACTCAATTTCCTTATCTGTAAAGTGGGTTAAATGACAGCAGTTGTCTCATTGTATTCAAGAAGCATTTTGAGGGTGCCTGGAGAGATGGCTCAGCAGTGGTTAAGAGCACTGTTCTAACAGAGGACCCGGGTTCAATTCTTAGTCCTCACATGGCAGCTCACGCCTGTCTGAAACTCCAAGATCTGACACCCTACATAGACATACATGCAGGCAAAATACCAGTGCACTTAAGATAAAAGTACAGCCAGGCAGTGGTGGCGCATGCCTATAATCCCAGCACTCAGGAGGCAGAGGGAGGAGGAAGAGGAGGTGGGGGAGGAGAAGAGATAAAAGTAAATCATTATTTTGGGGTTGGAGAGATGGCTCAGAGGTTAAGAGCAGGGACTGCTCTTCCAAATTGGACCTGGATTCAAATCCCAGCACCCACATGGCAGCTCACAGCTGTATACAATTCCCATGATCTGACACCCTCCCATGGACATATATGCAGGAAAGACACCAATGCACATAAAATAAAAATAAATAAATGTTTTTTTTTAAAAGAAGCATTTGGAAATACAAGGCCTACACATTATTAAGAAAACAATGTAAGATTGTAGTGAGGATTAAATAAGACCAGGCGATATGCAGACCACACT